GTAGCTTCTAAATCTAACTATCTACCTAGACAGCTAAACCTGCTACCTAAACCTGTTATTATAAATAATAAACTAAAATATGTTATAAAAGACATTAAATAGATCTAGTTTAATAAAAAAAATATATCTATAAATACTTTACAAAATAGACTAGATATAGCAAACTATTATAGAAACCTGTAGAAGCCTAATAAGAGAACTCTATAGTAACCTAATTCTACGCCTAATACCTATCTAAGCTAAACTTGTACCTTAATAAAGACAACCTAATGCTAGAACTACTAATGTAAAGGATTCCCTTTCTAATAAGGGGGGGGTACTGTTACAGTATCCTCCCTAGATCCTAGACATAACTGTATTAGACATATACTAAAGTATTATTAGTGCATGTCTAATATAAACATAACATAACATAGACATAAACTTAAGTATAAACTGCTTTAACACTAACTAAACCTAAAACAGGCTTAATTTATACTTAAAGTGCTTAGACTTTTAAGCTAAGTATTTAATTACTAATTTTCTTTTAAACCTTCCTATTCCTCACACAACGTCTTGTACCTACTATAATACCTTACATAGTAATTAAACTAGACCTCTGTGAAGCTCTATAACCTTACTTGTGCACAATCGTGACACAACACTACTTAAACGTGTTAAAGGAATGTTAGATGCAGCTTACACTTTAAGCTTTTAAATAAAACATAATACTTTTTAACTAACACACTGCAGCTATCTATAAGGTCTCTTAAAAGATAATAAGTAACTAACGCGCTAGACAACCTTTTTAAGCTAATTATACAGCTAACTTATAAAAGCTAGATAATAACAAGAAGTAAGTAATTATTTAGCACATACTTAAGCTAGATGCGCAAGGATTTCCCCCCTAGCTAGTAGCTGTAGCTAATATAGCTAATTCTTTACACACTAAGCATAATATAAGCTATGTTAGCATAACCTAGCTTAATATATTTATTAAGTGTTACTTAAAGCTTAAAGTAAAGTTTAAGCGTAAGTATAACTATAAAAAAGCTTTTTATAAGAATTTTATAGTAATTTAAAGCTAGTTTAACTTTATAAAGAATATTAAAGCTAAGTATAGCATCTAGAATAATAATACATATAACTTTAATAAAATAAGGTTTATAATAGGCTAGATATCTACTAGAGCAGTTATTATAAGTTTAGAGAGATAAGAACAGCTAAAAGCAGTCTAGCTAGGCAACTAGAAGTAGACAATAGCTATTTAGAGCATTAATGCTAAAAAGTAGGCTATTCTGCCTTTTATTATCTTTTAGGGTAGCAACTACTTTTTAAACTAGTATAAAAAGAAAAATCTACTTTAGAATTAAGTTATTATAATCTCTAAGCGCAGCTAGACTACTAATTAGCTTAGTCTAGACTAGTTAAAGCACTTTAACGCGCATATAAAGAAGTGTACTATTAGCAGCTACTGTCTGCTAGTTATTAATAGCTATAAAAGCTATAACTTACTTTATTTCTAGTAATACTATAAAGATAATAAGATTATTACTATTTATATACTTTTTTACTTATTACACCTTTTATAGCTACTTAATGTAGGTTGTTTTACTCTTTTAAAGAAAGTGTATAAGTGCTAAGCTAAAAACCTTATGCGCAACTAGATTACTTATATTATAAAGATAAAGTTCTTACTATGCTTTAAAGCAGCTTATAATGCTATAATTACTTCTAGTAATATCTAAAGAGAGTTTTAAAGCGCTAGATTAGTTCCTTTTAACCTATAATAAGTTATAATAGGCTTTAATGTAAAGTTGCGCACTTTATTACTACTACTACTTATATATAACAAGCCCTAGCAGTTGTAAACTTTAAGTAATACCTTAAAACTTAAGTTATAATTAATGCTTATAAAGATAAAAATTTAAAAGCATATAAATAGTTTACTAACTTTTATAGTTAAGGTGTTTAAGAAGGTCTTAAAGAGGGCAGCAATAATTATGTATAAGCTAGTGTTAGTGTAATAAGAAATTACTAAGCTTTAAGCAGCTAATAAGGCTGCTACATAACATAAATTACATAAAAAAAAGTAGATTAAGGCAAAAAAGACTTTAATAATTTAAAAAGGCCTATGCTTAACAGCTTTAAAAGAGTTTAAGGCGCGCAGTAATAAGAAGAAGGCAAAGAAGCAGGTGTAAGCTAAAGTAAGTAAGCTATCTTAAAGGCGCTGCAGACAGTGCAATTAGACTAGGCATAACGCGCAAATGTGTAAGCAAGAAGCAGAAGTAGTATCTAAATAATATTCTAGGCTGTACTGTACTATATAGTGCTAGAGAGGGTTGTTATGGGCCATAATAGAGTTTGTTAGGGTGGGGTCTTGGCAAAAGTGAGCGACTCGGGTGTGTGAGCAACTCGCCTATGAAGTACGTTATACTATAGGCAAGTTGCTTAAACACCTAAGATGTTTACTTTTACTAAGACTCTACTAAACTACTTTTTCTACACTAATGCATTTCTAATAACACTACTTAAATATGCTAAAAGAATGTTAGATATATCTTATACTCTAGGCTTTTAAATAAGACGCAACACTTTTAAAGTAACATGCTGTAGCTATGTATAAAGTCTCTTTAAAAATAATAAATAACTAATATACTATATAACATTTATAAGCTAAATTTATAGCTAACTTATATAGGCTAAGTAATAATAAAAAGTAAGTAATTATTAAGCACATACTTAAGCTATATATGTAAGAATTTTTCTCTTAGCTAGTAGTAATAGCTAATATAAGTAATTCTTTACATGCTAAGTATACTTTAGGCTATATTAGCATATACTAGCTTAGTATATTTATAAAGTGTTATTTAAAGCTTAAAGTAAAGTTTTAAGTATAAGTATAGTTATTAAATATCTAGCTTATTATAAAGCTTATTTTATTAAAGTTATACATATTATTATTCTAGATACTATACTTAGCTTTAATATTCTTTATAAGCCTAAACTAGCCTTAAATTACTTTAGAATTTTTATAAAAAGCTTTTTATAGTTATACTTACACTTAAACTTTACTTTAAGCTTTAAATAACACTTAATAAATATACTAAGTAAGTTTATAGTAACATAGCCTAAATTAGGCTTAGCCTGTAAAGAATTAGCTATATTAGCTATAGTTACTAGCTAAAAAGAAAATTCTTATATATATAGCTTTAGTATATGCTTAATAATTACCTACTTTTTATTATTACCTTACTTTTATAAGATAGCTATAGAATTAGCCTATAAAAGTTATTTAGTATGTTAGTTATTTATAATTTTTTAAAAAACTTTATACATAGCTATAGTATGTTACTTAAAAACTATTATGTCTTATTTAAAAGCCTAGAGTATAAGCTGTATCTAACATTCTTTTAGCGCGTCTAAGTAGTGTTATTAGGAATGCATTAGTGTAGAAAGAGTAGTTTAGTAAAGTCTTAGTAAAGTAAACAACTTAGGTAAGTAAGCAACTTGCCTGTGATGTACGTTATATATTAGTAAACTAGACGTTAATCTACATGTATAATATATGCATGCTTGCACAACCTGTTTATTTATAACAGCTATAAGCCTAGTAGCGTTTTTATATAAGTAATTCTAATTTTAATATCTATTTTTAACCTATACTACAACTGTACACTTTATACACTGTGAATTAGCTATGTTGAATATTGTATATACTGCGGAGGGTGACATAGCTTGGCAATACCTGCTTAGAAGATCGGATAAAGTGACTCTGCTATCTAGGAGAGTTGAAGGCTCTCCTTATATACGCTAAGCTTCGGAACATACTATCTCTAGATCCCGAGCCGCGTCTCAGGCTCCGAGCCCTAGCCAAGGCTCTTAGTATACACGACATATACTTTTAAAAAGCTTTTAGATTATAATAATTACCTTTATTTTGTTTAAACACTTATATATAGCATTAGTTTTTAAAAGTACTAGTTAACTATAATCTAAATAAAAAAAATAAAGTATATAATAAGATTCTACTTTTAGCTAACTAGCAAGCAGGCTAAAATGTTATATTTAAAATTAAAGTAGTTTAGAATAAGTGCTTAGAAAACCTATTCCCTAAATTTACATTCTCCTGAGGTTTATTTAAGTGCGGAGAGACACGAATATGTGGAGATTGCGAGATACCGTGCTGTTCAATGGGGAGGGGGCAGTGCAGGAATCGAAAAGATGTATAGATTGTAGGTGGTAGTTTGCGTGATTAAGACTTCTGAGTATCAAGTGAATGGAAGCGGGGGAATTGAAAGACCCTGAGCAGAATGCTGCTGTGAGAGGGTGGCTACACAGCGGTCATCCTGATGTATGTTAGTAACGCCGCAAACCCCTCCCCCTGGCATCCCTGCCCCCAAGTTACAAAGTGAAAGTGGAACGCCTCCAACCTGCGTTAGCCAACTTACAGAGGTGATAAGGATCTTGCCCGTGCTGGGGACGGTCCGATTTAAAGGCTATATTGCGGAGGCTAACGCCCAGGTTTGTTCGCGCCTAAGTTCCAACACTCTAGATATGCAGTACTATGCTTATTTAGAAGGGATTCGTGCTCCTTACGGCAATTGTCTTCGGCCAGACCTTTTGAAACAAAAGCCCGCCTTGTATGGCTTGATCAAGCAACAGGGATGCACGACTGTGGCAAAGCACACTAGCCTGCGCAAAGCCCTCAGGCTGTGATTTGTTTGGAATAGTAGAGATCAAGACGTATAATTTCGGCGTCCCGGTTCGGAAGCAGGCTTCGCTGTTCCACTGAAGCGCAATTAAGGCGCAGAACGCAACCAGACACAGACAATGGCAATTTTTACGCCACTAGAGAGAAGTAGAAAAAAGCTCATTGGTTCATCAGTCTATAACGATTTCCGAAAGCGAAGGGCGAAGGTGATCTCTATGAGCATGTCTAGATATTGGCCTCCCAACTCGTCCTCTTTGAGCCCAATCTTCCCGCCCACAGCGAAATCCACATTTTTGTCACTACAGAAATGCCTTTCACAGTCGAAAAGTGCACCGAAGCAGATCTCCCGCGGTTCTTCGAAATTGTCTCCCTTGCCTTCCGTCATGACCATGAATACATCGACTCGGTGTTCCCTGACCATGATACCCCTGCTGGTCGAGAGGCCGGTGCTGAGCGTATGCTCGCCACCATGAAAGCAGACATTAATGCTATCTTCTTGAAAGTGGTCAACGATGAGAGGAAGATCATCGCAGCCGCTAAGTGGAACATCTACGATGGTGTTGTGCCCCCTAAGCCAGAACTGACAGGTGATTACTGGAAAGACGGCGATGAGAAGGAGTTCGCAAAACACATGTTTGATGGCTACCTTGTACCAAGGTGCCAGGACATCAAGGATTCTAGAGGAAATCTTGCTAGTGAGTTAGTTTGCCGCCCACTCCGCCGCCACTAACATGGGATCTAGCTTTGGACATGCTCATTGTGGATCCGTATTATCAGCGTCAAGGTGCTGGCAGGATGCTAGTGCAGTGGGGGACGGCTGTTGCAGACAGGCTTGGTGTTGAAGTGAGTCAATCTCGCCGACCTCCGTATCAAGGCTGGACGGCTGAAAACACTAGGCGGTCGTCGAAGCTGGTGATTATGGCCGAGGACTCTATGCTCAGGAGGGATTTGAGGTTCTCGACAAATATGAGGTTCCCGTTCCAGAAAAGTGGGCTGCGCGAAGAAAGCAGTGGTTCTGGTGGATGAAACGTCCAGCTCTAGCTCCCGCACCAAAGAACTAGCATCAAAGTATTAGAAACTTCGCTATAGAGAATGATCATGGCACTGCTCTTATGCCTTGTGGTAAATTCTTTATATTCATACCATCTCATTCATCCATACATCTGGTCCACACAGAACAACCTCCTATGGACGTTAGCTAGCTTATGTCGTATGCTCACCCTAAGCCCGGCTCTGGACTGCTAACTTCAATAAGGACCTCGCGAGTCTGTGTAATTATTCTATCCTGCGAATCACTCTGCTCCTTAATCTTTCTTAGCTTAATGCTATTCTTCGAATTCTTCGCCTCTTAGTTGCTTGGACCCTTACGAACCCTGCTAAATGAGTAATTTGAAGTCTCCAATGGAGCTACTGAACATATATCCCCAGCCAGAATGCCGCTTTGCAGGCCTCTTAGGTTTGATCTAGAAGAGCGTCTAAGGAGGAACTTACAAGAATCGAGCGTAAAATGCAATGATGATAGGAGTTTTGGTCATTAGAGACATGTTGAGACCATAGAGATGAAACCAGCTAGTGCAGCTGTGGATGCGTCGATTGTAACATCTAACGCCGCAAATACTCCCTAGAATGCGGTCTGAGTCTGCCGTTAGTGCGACTTCGATAAAGTTTTGTCAGAGTAGGCGTGCAAAACTCACCTAATCGAAACAATTCGACGAACATATGTCCTATGCATTGGCTGGTAGGCATTGGAAAGCTATGGAGAAACCCACAATAACGGCGAAAAGTGCACTGGCGCCTGATACAGCATAAACAGCATGAACTCGTGGGCTATTCCGCGCACAAATCGCGAAGAGTTGAAGGACAGTTTGTTTCGCGAATACGAGAGTGATAGTATGCATGATTTGGGAGGTATAGGTAGCCTTCTCTCTTGTTAGTTCTATATAGCTATAGCCTGGGATGTTCGTTGGGAACTTTACTTGCCTTTTGATAATGGACGAGTTAGTCATCAGTGAGATTGTAGTTGTGTTGCCCTAATCCTGCAGACTCTTGAACAATGACTGCGATGCTGTACGCTGCTGCGAAAAGATTTGCGATATTCAGCTTCATGATAACTATACGTCCAAAAAAAGCGAAGGGATCCGACGTACCATTGCAAGAATCGTGAATCCATCATCGTATTGTAGATTCCGGATCAAAATCTATTGTGTAAAGACCTCCATCATCGACCCTAAAAACATCACTCTGAGCAGGATCCGGTTGATAACATTTATCAACGGCCACCGATTCGCTGCATCGACATATCCTATCCGACGCCATACTCCTGTAGAAGTCAAGGCAGAAGCAAAGTAGTAAATAGTATGTACCCAGTTATTAAAGTCAAAAATAAACCTGTCGCTGTGATGTGTGACTGCAAAGTAGACTTTCAAAAGCTTCCTAAGAGGATTGTTGTTTGATACGCATCTCTGACGCAGTGACGCCCAAAAAAGGGTCCCGGCATCTGTCTTCTCGAACACCTCACTCAGAATACAGAGTGCGGAAAGAATCACGGACCCCGGCCAAAGACAGTGCCCACCATTCCCATGTCCCAAATGCCTGTATATTCAAACGGATATATCTAATAGTGTGCCAAGTGGGGCCTCGGCCAACGCGAACTTAATGTTTTCGGCGTCTGTTCCGCAATTATGTTAGCGTCTGTGCCGCAATTACGTTCAACTTCGTGCCGCAATTACGCATGTCAACCCCACATGACGGAAGGCATACGAGACCGAAGTTAGTTAGTGAGAGAAGGGGGGCAATCACAGGGGTCTTCTAGCAGGGAATAGAGTTTCCTACTTCGCTAATGGTTTTGCAAAAAGAGAGGTAATAAAGAAATCTCTACGAATCGAAATTTTTCTAAAGTATGTGGTTTCCATTCCTTCCCGAACAAGGACTGAGTGTCCGCCTCTTTCTTGTTCAGTAGTTGAATCCAAAAGCAGATGACACCTAGTTGTCGGATCGTCGTAAATCCGCTCCGTTACTCCCAGCAGCCCTACTAATGTGCCCTAACAGACATTCGTCACCACCACGCTGCCACGGCAACACCTATAGCTTTAAAGATCCCCGACGCCTTCCTCGTGCTCTTCATAACTCATCGCTTTCTCGCGTTCCTAGGATAAGAACAGTCTATCTTTGCTCCAAAACACGGAATGCTTCACTCTCTTCAGCCCGGTGGTGTCGTTCTGGCCACGGAGAAGCTAACTTGGCATCTTCACGGATTCCCAACGACCAAAAGAAAGAGCCACTTATAGTAGAGGCAACACAACTATCCAATGAAGACTACTGTAGTTTAGTAGCAGTGTATTTCGAAGCAGTTATAGAGTGTGCAGCGATGGCGCAGGAAGAGGGATCTAATATTGCGCCGGGACATCGGGTAAGATCTCATCTACTTGAGGAAGGCATACCTTGATCCCTCATGATTTCAACTCTGCTATAGGTCTAAGCTAATTGTCTTATTTCCTTTCAGAATGACGTTATAACCAGCCCCGCTCTAGGCGTCGGCGACTACATCCTCAAGTGCCAGCGCTCAACAAAGCAAATCTGGCTGTATTCGCCGATCTCAGGGTAGGAAGGCTACGACTGGGTTGTACATGGGCAGAAGCAATATACCGATGATGGCGTAACGATGGGACAATGGCTACATATGAGTAAGGGTACAAACTTGTCAGAGGTATTGAATACAGAGTCGGGTTTACAAATGGAAATGTACTTTGGGTGACGTCCGTGCTGCTGCTTATGGCTTACCGAATATTGTATGACCCCTCCTAATACTGTTAATCTATCATCTGGTTCTTTGCTACCACATCTTCGCCACTGGGGCTCTCCATGGTTCTAGCGGAACTTCACCCTCTCCTACATCCGGTACCGCGGCCTTCGGCTCCAATCCACCCCATTCTTGCTTAGCTTCCGCAACCTGTCCTTCGCTTCTCCGCACCGCCTTGGCCTTTGGCCCTGGCGGATCTGCCTCTAATGCATCACTCTTCCGCTTCCGACCACGTTTCTTCTTGCCTACAGTGGCTTTAGGCACTTGCGCAGCCCTTGCAACTTTCTTCGCCTTGTTTACAACCCTTTTGGCCACTATTTTAGACAATATATAAGACACTTAGTTATAAAACTTTAACTTTAATAAATATAAAGCCTTTTTTACTTTATTTTTTAGTACGTAGATAAGTAATAAGGTAAGCCTTATATAACTTAAATAAGTATTTAATAAAAAGATAAAATAAAAAGCTTAACACTCTTATTAACTATTAGTTGTAAATAGCTATAGATTACATATTACTATAAATTTTATTAAGTACTATAATAATAATAAAATACTACAAGAGTTTATAAATAATCTATAAAAGCAGAGCTTATTTAGAGCAATAGTTAGCGCATTAAGGTGGGTTGTTTAGGTTAAAGAATAGTTGCAGCGTAATGCTTAGCAAAGTAGTATTAGATAGGTAATAGATGCATAACAACAACATTTAACTGCAGCACGCAACTAATCACAGCCTGCAACTAAGCGTGGCTGATACTAATCACCAACACACTAATGTAGCTACAGAGGTGGAATAGACGCAACTGACTATAATTTAAACATGTTTTACACAACACATGCTAGAGAAAACTGCGTGCAAATTAATGTATAAGTGCACTTATATTAAGTATCTGTTTCTTTTAAAAAAGAATGTAAGAAGTACATAAAGTAATAATAAAATAGTATTACTAAGGTTTATTTAAAGAAACTATAGCTAACTAGCACGCCTAAAAGAGGAGATTCTGCTCAACCTTTCGTTCTGCAAACCTAAATATATTTAGTAGAGCAAGCTTTGCTAATAATCTCTCTAGCTATTTGTCTACCTTATTTAACTTATACTTTACAGCTTTTAGATGGTTACATGTTTAAGCCTCTATTAATTGCCTACTTAGCTAAGCTAGTAGATTTTATATATAAGTACTAAAAACTATTAACTATTATAAAAAACTACTTTACATATTTAATAAAGCCTAGCTAATGTTATTTAAATTAAAAACTATTTTTAAAGCATTTATAATATATAGTTTATTTTTATATAATTTAGAAGGAATCTTAGCATAATTTAACATTAAAAAAAAGAACTAGCCATTCTCTAGTAATAGTACTACTTTAGTACTAGGCGCTTTTAATTAGAGAAAGATGAAGAGGATTTTATACTAAGTTATTAATAATATTTATAGTAAGTAGTTATATTCGCTTAGTTAAACTATTTATATAATTTTATATTATAACAAATTACTCTAGTATAAGGTTAAACATCTTAAATAAGCTTTTTTTAATAAAAAAGTGTTACTACTAGCATAGAAAGCCTTTCCTACTTAAAGATCTACTTAAGTATAATAGTAAAGTATAAGGACAGAGCTGTGTACCACTGCGCTAATATAACTAAAAAGGTGTGAATAATTAACTAACAGTTAATTATTGCGTACAGAATAGTATATATACCTGTTGCACGTAAGCGCTATCTTAGCTTTACATAAAGTAGTCTTTTAGTTACTAAATAAAGTATGTAAAGCATATAATTTTCAAGCTTAAAAAAGAAAATAACAAAGCTTAAAAAAGTATAAAAAAAAGTAAAAATAGCGCATATACTAAAAAAAAAAATATGTATAAAAGTAACTAGTAGTAAAAGAAATCTAACTTTAAAAGCAACGCGTTAAGGTAGCTTAAAAAAAGAAAGTAAAGTTTACTAAAAAGCTACTACACAACTAATAAAAAACATCTAATTAGCTAAAAAAGTTAAGAAGAAAGCCTCTACACTAATTACTAGTAATAAAAATAAGAAGAAGAATTATATTAAGAATGAATTAGTTATAGAGGTTACTGTGTCTACTCTAGCCTAAAGTTTATGTAGCAGGTGGATTAACCTTTCTAAAAGGTTTCTTATATAATAGATTAATTAATTAGTAAGCTTTTTTTTATAACTCTAGAAAACTACTTTATTTTATAAGCTTTATAGAGCTGAATAGCTTTAAAAGTTTAAGGGTAACATCATAAAACTGTGGGTTACAAGGGGCTGTGCGTTAGGCGATGAAACATAGTACGCTGCCACACAGGTTTTTTTTTTTTTAGAAGTATTGAGTAAATTTACGTTGCAATTCAGTCTGCTCACGTTCCTCTGTAGAATCTTTAATTTCTCCGGCGACTCGTTGTTCCAGCCGGCGCTGAGCCTAAACAGGAAAGAGTGTGTACCTTTCTAATTCGCTGCTGCGCTACAGGCCGCTATTCTCTCGAACACTTGACGGAACATATCAGCCATCGCCTGTCCACCATTTTCAGACAAAAGCATATCCTTATTCTTTGCCGTCTCCTCTGCTTTCTCCTTCGCCCGCGTCAGCATCCCCTCCTCAAACCCACGCAACCGTGGCTCGAGCGCTTCTTGCCACTTAGCGGCGTTCTCGGCCTCAGGCATCCCTCCAAGCGTGTGCGCTAGGTCCAGTGAGTCCCACAACGCAATGTTGACACCCTCGCCGGCCCACGGCGTCATCAGGTGAGCCGCATCGCCAACCAGCGTAGCTCCCATGCGGGTCTCCCAGCGGTGACCGATGGGAAGCATGTACATGGGCGCGATATCGGCCGGGCTGCCGGGGTTGTCCTTAGTGTCCTCGTCACAAGCTGTAGCGAGGAGGTCCTGGAGTGAGGGCGCCCACTTGCCAAAGAGTTTATCGTCACCCAGGAGCACAATCTTGGCTTGAGCGGCCGTCTTGCCCCCAAGCCCCACCGCCTCAGCCCAGTGCTCGTGCGACGTGCTCACAGCCGCGTACACTCGGATGGAGTCCTGTGGGCCACGGTGGGTTAGAATGCCGTTGCCACCGCCGAGCGCGCTGAGTGTGCCCGACCCGCTCAGCGCAACCAGATGTGGGTATTTGGATGAGGCGTTCCTCAGCGTTGCAGTTATAAACTGCGCGCCGCTGTAGAAGGGTGTAACGTCTGTGAGCAGCTTGCGCACCCGGGACCAAGCACCGTCGGCGCCGACAACGAAGTCGTATGTCTCGGTGCCGTTGGCACCCAAGTCGAGCATGATCTCTATCGCGTTTGTGGTCGCGTTGCGGGCGCGCTGTACAGCCGTGACTTTGTGGTTCCATTTGATGAAATCTCCAAGGATGTTCTCGAGAAGCAACTTCGTGAGCGCATTCCGCGCAACTTCTGGGCGAGTCGAATGCTCGCCGTCATCAGTGTGCAACACGGTGGCCTGCGGGTCGAGGACGCGGCACGCCTCAGAGCAGTCGCCGAACGCTGCCTGGAGGCCATCCCACAGGCCACACTCGCTCATTGCCCGTAACCCAGACTCCTTGTGCAGATCCAGCATGCCGGACGGTTTTGCAAGCTCCTCTGGCGTCGGCTTGCTTCGCAATTCGTAAATCGTGAGGTGCATGCCTCGTTGTTGTAGTAGAAGGCCGAGTGCCAGACCTGAGGGTCCGCCGCCGACGATGGCGATTCGGGGTCGAAAAGGCATTATGCGTGCGTGAGAGAGAGAGAACGGAAGACTTTGTGTGACTTTTGCTTTGAGGAATCATAACTTCAATGGGAATTTTATATCTATGTTCGATCGCGAACGTCCGTCGCACTTTGTTTACTCTCCGATGCGGAGGTTTCTAAAACTCCGAGTGGTTGTTTTCGTTCTGAGTTGCGCAAGCTACTTTCATCCGTCTCTTCCAATTGTTTCAACGTTTTATTTTAGCCCAATAGGAAACCGTCATTATTACTATTCGTGGCTCCATTAGGTGCCGAACATTTCATGACTCAAGAGCTGAGCTTGTTTTTAGCTCAGCTTTCGTAATTGCCTGTGCCGCCATTCGCGTTATGCAAGGTTACAGCATTCGAATTACAGTTTCGTGAATTGCTAGGCACCACTTAAAGCCGGTATCGACTCCCTCATTCGACAGGCCTCCTGCGACTCGGGCCGTTCTGTGACAAGAGAAGTGATAAAATCGCCTGTTCGGGAGTCAGAGAGGCATTGGGCGAGCTAGCATTAATTAGGATATCATCTAGACGTCGCGTCTCTTAAACACAGCTACCGAATCACCCCAAAAATACCAATGACAGCGACTGAAAGCAGCATAGTGGAATAGATACAGGATAAATGGGTCTGGATTGCAGCCGCGGAGACCTAGTTACGCGGTGCTAACATTAGAGATTTTATACAATGTTCACGTTCATATTGTTTGCAGTTGCAACCGTTACCTACTATAGTTACTCGATGCCTACGACAGTAGTATGCTGCCTGAACTTGTCATATGATGTCTAGCTCGCTCCTTTTGCATATATAGATCCGTAGATACCTTCCTTTACCAACCAACTCCATTCCTCACGACCTCTGTGCCCCTAAGCTTCACAGATCGGATGGATGTCTCTCGCTGAGCCGTTCCGATGAACGCAAATCCAAAACAACACCCAGAAGTTTTGCTCGGCGTTCCGGACGCTTTTTCGCGGTCGGTTTTAATGGCAAGGTCGAGGACAATCAAGAAACCATCGCCCTCCGCCATGGTCAACGTGGCTTTTCCGATAAATATATGTCGGTGCATCAACAGAGGGGCCATTCATAAGGTCCTCGTGCCGGTGACTTATGCTTGAGGAGCAAACAGGAGTTACCTAGCGGGGAGAGGTTTGGCCTGGCCTCAAACCGTGGAAGGTGTGCGAGGTGCCCAACAGGTGTGACGTGGCCACCGGAAACTGGGGTAAAGGCTTGGGAAGCAGGCATGTCAAACTCTACTATATTGCTAGTACTGCTAGCTAATATATAACTACCTGCCAGGGACCGGCAGGTTCACCAAGGTCGATGTAGTACTTGCATCCCCGTAGCAATACTTCACCGGTCGCACTCTCATGACCGTCAGGCTGGTGCCTATCTATCACGCAAGTTATCCTCAGATGTAGCTGGCCAGAACCTGAGACGAACGAACTTCCTCCGCTTGGGAAGAATTGGCATCAGGATTCACTTCTCGCAATTCCAAAATCAAAACGTCGTGAACGTGAGGTTGGATAAAGAGAGACGGGATGAAGTGTCCAAGGAAACCTTAGAAAACCGGTTCAATCTGTTCAAGAAGGTTAAGGAGGATTTCAGGTTTTTGAACAGCGATGCCTACAATATGGACGAAAAAGACTACATCTTGGGTGTTTCCGAGATATCCAGAGTCCTTATCCCGCCCAAATCTAGCGTTCATACACAAAACAGGCTACGGCCGAGGGCCTGTTAAGATAATCGAGTGCACCAATGCTGCTGGAATCACAGTTCCCCGTTTCGTGGTATGGGGCGCAAAATCACATGGCGATAACTGGGTACCCGTGAAAATGAGCCGATCAATAGATGGGTCTGTGTTTGCACCGTTATTCATCAGAGGGCGTAGAGAAGTCATCACCCAGAATTTCAGACTCTAGGTCTGAATCGTCCTGGACAGTCCCACCGTCGTCTTCCCACGCCATGTCGTCAGCGAGTTTCATGCATTTACCGGTCAAAACATCCAACGACCGCATTTCGAGTTGCGGAAGCGTATGAGTTAGGATTCTTATGATTTTGGGAGACACCATATGGGCCGCAAGTGCTTCCGCCTGATCTTCGATATCCGCTTTTAGTTTAAGAAATCCTCCGCCTGTGGGACCGCATCGTGTGGAGTGCGCCGCTGACGTTGTCATCGGTGACTCATTAGACAGGCTGAGGTTGATGAGCACCTCACTTAAGCGTAAACTGGTGTCATGGTGTTGGGGTCTCAGAACATCTGCGCAGATGCTGCGCATGCGTAGTCGAAGACGTCTTAGAGTAGTAAGAAGGGCGCCGATACTCGTGCAAACGTGAAAATCGTCACGATGCTCTTGTCGCGGCATCAAGAGGGTCCCACAAAGGTCTAGCTCCAGGGCCGTCAGATTTTTTCCCGACAGGAAGGCTCGTATCGTGGACAGTGAGAGATAATCGCGGCGGGGAAGAAGAGGGAGCAGAGGATGGTGTTCGCTTGAGGCTTGGATACGTATTATCCGCAATTTTCGAGATTCTTTGGCTGTAATTGCAAGTTGGGCTAGGTCGTTATCCAGGGCTGTTGTCCAAGCTGTGAGCAATGCGCGTCCGAGATCTCCGTCCCAACTTGAGGCAACCAAAGCATTCACATCCTGCGGATAGCTTTGTGACTCCGGTATAGAGCTCCAGCCCTCAAATCCCTTTAGGCCAAGGTCCAGAATTTCCAAGCTGTCTTTGATCAGAAGCAGGCTCCTCCCCACCTCCCGAGAAGATAGCAAACGCCGTAGGGTCTTTTGAAAAAGTTGAAGGTCCTTGAAGCACGCAGTACGAGCAAATCTGAACCACTGCTTGCAGACTGTGAGGCGTCCTAAGTCCTCACGGAAATAAGACGAGCCCACATGATTCATAACTTGTATCAGAATCTCTGGAGGCAATTGTAGGAGTGACATGGAGTGTTGTGGAAATCAAGTAACGTCCCGGTATCGGTGAATCAAGAGGCTTGAGTGTCTTACAGGGAGTTCAAGGAGAGAAAGAAAGACGTCGAGCCAATAATAAACGGCTTAAGAAGTTTCAGTTGCTTGGTGTGGAGTGGGTTCAAAGCTCGCAGCAGATGCGATGCGTGTGTGTGAGTGGAGTGGTTTCTTCCCTCTGGATCACGGAACAACTTCGGAAGTCTGGCGGGGCAACGGCAGCCTTCTTTACTGTATTCCATCGCTTAACGCACGGCCCCTTGTAACGCACACACAACTAAAATCCATTAACTTTTTAATTAAGTTTATCTCTACTAATATAGACCTAATTAAGGCTGCGCTAGTGTTATTTAAATTACTAAAGTTTAGAGAAAAACCTAATTATAGTATAACAGCAAGAAAATTTAGTTGTTGTTGCTCTATACTATTAAAGCGCCACTATAGAGTGCAGAGCACCTATGCAGAGAAGCATAAAAATTAATAACTTCTTAATAATGTATAAAAAAACTACTACTTACAAAGCTGATAATACATAATTGTGCCTTAGAAATAGCTAAAAAAAAATAGGCGAGTAAAAACTAGGTTAATTACTTTATTAAATAGTAAAACATTAAGCTTATATTTTAATAAACATCTAGCATAGATTCTAGTTACAAAAGAGCTAACTTAGCCTTTAAATATAAGCTCTATTTTAAGCTGTTATAAAATTTTTTTAATAATTATAGTATAAAGTTACACTATATTTATAATATAAATAAAAAAAACTTTTTAGTTAGTATACTATTAAAAGTTAAAAAATCTTCTTTAAATAGTAGTATAAAAAAAGTAGCATTAAGTAGATAATCTAAAATAGCAATTATAAGTAGGTTATAACAATAGCTTATATATACGCTAATAAAACTTCTTTTACACTAGCACTAATTTATTAGGTTGTTTTAAGCAAAATATAAAACACTTACTTATAAAACTTCGACTTTAATAAATATAAAGCCTTTTTTACTTTATTTTTTAGTAGGTAGATAAGTAAAAAGCTAGGCTTTACATAGCTTATATAAGTGTTTAATAAAAAGATAAAATAAAAGGCTTAAAGCTTTTATTAACTATTAGTTTTAAATAGCTATAGATTACATGTTACTATAGATTTTATTAGGTACTGTAATAATAATAGAATCCTCTTAGCTATCTATTTACTTTATTTAACCTATACTCTCTAACCTTTAGATGTCTGTATATTTAAGCCTCTATTAACTGCTTACTTAGCTAAGCTAGTAGATTTTATATACAGGTGCTAAAGATTATTAACTATTATAAAGAAAAACTTTTTTTTATATATTTAATAAAGCCTAGTTAATATAATTTAAATTAAATACTATTTTTAAAGTATTTAAAATGTGTAGTTTATCTCTTTTTAATTTAAAAATAATTTTAACGTTCTTTACAAGCAAGTTGCTTACACATCTAAGTTGCTTACTTTTGTTAAGACTACAGCCTAACAAACTCTATAATAGCCTATAAAAACCTGCTCTAGCACTATATAGTATAGTATAGTCTAGAATATTATTTAGATACTACTTTTACTTCTTACTTACACATTTGCGTGTTATATCTAGTTTAATTACACTATCTATAGCACTTTTAAAATAGCTTACCTTCTTTAGCTTACACTTACTTCTTTACTTTCTTTTTATTTCTACGCGCTTTAAACTTTTTTAGAGCTATTACGTGTAAGCTTTTTTAAATTATTAAGGTTTTTTCTACTTTAATCTGCTTCCTTTTATATAATTTATATTATATAGTAGCCTTATTAGCTGCTTAAAGCTTAGTAATTTATTATTATACTAACACTAGCTTATATATAATTATTACTACCTTTGTTAAAACTTTTTTAAACACTTTAACTATAAAAGTTAGTAAACAATTTATATGCTTTAAAATTTTATTTTTATAAGTATTAATTATAACTTAAGTTTTAAAGTATTACTTAGAGTTTATAACTACTAGAGCTTGTTATATATAGGTAGTAGTAGTAGTAGTAGTAGTAGTAGTAGTAGTAGTAGTAGTAGTAATAAAGTGCATAACTTTACATTAAGGTCTATTATAACTTATTATAGGTTAACAGAAACTAATCTAGTGCTTTAAAACTTTTCTTAGATATTACTAAAAGTAATTATAGCATTATAAGCTACTTTAAAGCATAGTAAAAACTATATTTTATAATATAAGTTATCTTAGCATTTCTACTCTATTTATTTTTTATATTTCTTTCTATGCTCTTTAAAAGTGTAGTTGTCTACTAAGTAGTGTTTGTTTTTTATCTAATAGTAACATAGCTGCTAATTATTTTATTAGTAGGCTTTTTATTAAAAGTAGTAAAAGTTGCACTGCTTTTCTTTTCTACATTTAGGCTATAGCTGTTTTTTATGCTTAGAGGCTAGGCAATAGTGTTAGCAGTTTAGATTTTTATACTTTGTTGCCTATCTTATTATAATGTCTACTTAGTCTTTATTTAGAGCAGAATTATATAGCTACTATTCTACTTAATGCTTAGTTAGCTAATGCTTAACATAGTGCTTATTAGTGTACATATACTATAGGAGTAGGCAGTCTTTTAGGTTTAGTTGTACAGAGATTAGTTATTACTGTGTCTACTATAAATATTCCTTAGTCTAGATAATTTATACAGAGTAGGCTTTCTATTTACATGTTAGGTCTTTATGCTTTTAGCTCTTACATAGAATGCATTACTATTTGTCTTGTCTAATTACTAATTCTTTTCTAGAGACTGCTAGGGCTAGTAGAGGTGTTTTAGGCTGTTCCTAGCTTAGTTTTAGTACTATAAAGTTGTTTATAAGCTACTTAGCGGCTTTACCTTTATTAAAAATGTTTTAAAAGAATTTTTAATAATGTTTCTTTAAAAACATGTAGTAGTACACCTTTATAATTATTAATATAAGTGTGTACGTTTTAATGTTGTTTCTTATTATTACTTAATAGTGTATAATTATACAATGCTAGGGTCTATAGTTATTTCTATATTTTTAGCATTTATTTTGCTAGAATCTAAGAGCTAACTCTCTTACTAAGATCTTTTCTATTAGTAAGTAAAAAGAAAAAATTATTCCTCTTTTGTGACGGCGTGTACCGCCTCACATGCTCTGCGGCATCAGCTCCCTCGCTTGCGCAACGAGTAGCACGCTAGTGCTACGAGTAGCGCCTTGGCAGGGGGCACACATGTATATTTAAACTCGCAGAGCAGCTCCTCTGCTCCTTAGTTTAATCTAGTTGAGTTACACCACCTCTTGCTTGTAGCTTGAGCATGCCGACCGTGACATCTTTTTTAATTATGTTCTCAATATACTCTTAAACTTAGAGTGTAGTATAGTATTCTTTAAGAATAGCTACCTTCTGTAGCATCTAATATAGTTTATAGCTATTTTAAACCTCTACTTTCTAGTTGTTCCTAGGGCATTCTTTACATTTATAGTTCTCTCTACATCTTTAGTAAAGTTCTTAATTAAGTCTTTCTTCTAACTTGCTAGAGCTTACTCTTATTTCTATGCTAATAGCTTTTATTACTACTTAGTTATCTTTATTCTCTGCCTTTCTAGAGTCTAGGCATTTTTAATAAAAGTATTTTACTTTTTTATAGTTTAAATAAGCTTTATTTTTAAGTCTTTTCTTTTTGTATATAAAAAGAGACCTAGTCTACTTTATTTTTTCTTAGGTTTATCTTAGTTATTTTCTTCTTATAGTTTTAATCTTACTAAGGTCTATTAGTTCTCTATTTTACAAAAGATCTTCTTTTTTTTTACCTAAAAAGTAGGCCTTTATTTTAACTTGCTAGTAAAGCTCTTTATAAAACATTTTACATAAAGCCTTTAAGTTAGTCTAGCTGTACTAGGCTTAATATTCCTAGAACTTAGCAGTATAAGCTTGTACTAATTTTTTTTAACATAAGTTATCTATTCTATTTATAGCTATGTTTTTTTATTAATTAGTTTATAAATTCTAGTAGAAGATTCTTTAAAGTTTTACACATTGCTAAATATATATTAGGTGCTGTCTAGTAGGGTTGCTGTGAAGCTATGTAAGGCACTAGAGGCATGAGGAACTGCATTGAATGTATTGCTCGAGGAGTCCTTTGCAGGAGTCTATATATATGTGAAATAAGTGGGTGGGTCTTGGCAACAGACTATGGTGCCGACGCATCCGACCATCTTGTGACGACACATCCGACACATCCGACTATCGTGTGACTATGGTGACGACGCATCTGAGTGTCACTACTGCAAACAGTTGTGCTAGTAGTCCTGTAGAACCTCTAGTAGTCTGTGTAGGGTTAAAACTAGATAGCTAGGCTCTCTCCTAGGTATAAGCTTATTTATTAGATTATTTCTTTATTAGTTTTAAAAGCTTCTAGGTTGTAACTTATATATAATTTATATTATATAAAGAATAGCTTTAGGTCTTTTAATAGTCTTAAAAATAGTTTTAAAAGGTCTATTTATAGTAACTTTTTTTAGCATGTTGTTACAACCTACGTGTAACGATTCTCGTTCCATCTCGGGTCGCCCGGAACCTATCCGAAGGGTCCCTGTATCGGCCCCGACCCTGGCTCAACCCTGACTCGACCTGGCCCCGACTCTGCTCTGCCCCCTGCTGTTACCCCTATTCCCCCATGTATTTAGTCGCACCTCGCCCCTGTAGCTAGCTTAGTAGTTTTCTGATATCCTTTGTACAAGGTCTATAGTTGTTAATGAGATTCCCAGGTCATTAAGTCCCCACACACTCCCATATGCCTCCGAGCGGATTCCTACCGCATTTGGACTTATTGTCTTGCCTGTGCCGTTACACTATGATTAGGCTGTAAGCTACCAACCAAGTGTGACCCACCGTCTAAGTAAGCAGGGATAGCTCCCCTAGGTCACCCCACCAAGAAACGCATCACGTAACCCAACAGACGACGAATGGACAGTGCTGACGGACGGATTAATAGGCAGGTGTCTAGTCTAATAGAGACCTCTGCATTAAACGCAATAAACGCAGTAAGCGTAGTTAAACGCAAGTAATTACTACAATCACTGTAACTAACAACAATTATCTAAAACAACACATGTATATATTAAGATCTAAGATTAACCTTAAAAAGGTTTAATTAACATTTAGTTTATTTATTACATAGACTAAGTAGCATTCTAGCTTTCTAAAGAGCTGCAATACTAGTTGTATATCTTACACTATATATACCCCTCTTCC